TTACACCTAAAAAGTAAAAAAAAAAAAAAAAAAAAGAAAAAAGTTGCAACAAGGCAAAAAGGGTTAAACTTTAAGGTAGATACTGAAGAACCAAAAATACACCATAGATATAATTTGTCAATTGGTAAATTCCCATCCGTCTAGGTGACATGAATAAATTTCAGTTATTTTTCTTAAAACGTAAAACCGTAAATAAAAAATATTCACAAAACAATGATCTCCACTACTTATGATGTTTTGAAGTTTTCTTTAGCACTCGTGAGTCATACTTGCTAACCTTCTTCATAAGCCTTGTCCAAATTCATATGTCATGTAGAAAATAATTTTTGTAGACTATATATGCATTTTTGAATATCAAAAAATGATAAATAAGTATACTGATACCACAAAAATCGATTGTAATTTACCAGGCTTCTTAACTATGCTGTATTTGGGTCTAAAAATATAATTTCTGTTTGGAATATAGTACTGATCATAATACTTCAAACTCTCCAACAATATAAGAGGTTTTCTCTCATAAATAGCTTTGAAAGAATAACATAATTACGTAGAGGAAATGTAGAGCTTTTGAAAGTAGGCGTAGATAAACAAGTCTTCTCAAGTAATGAAGTGGTGGGCAGAGCCAATATGGTGGATTTGATAAATATTATGATATCTTAGCAAATAGAAGAGGTAGGAGGTTCTAATTTTATATTCGAGCTTAAAGTATAAAGATCACAAACCAAAGGAAAAAACCACCAGCTCCACCACATGGATAAAAAAAAACAACTTTTGAACCTAAATGAAATGTTAATGTAAACAATTCGAAACTAGAATAAGTTGTGTACCAACAAGTTACACACATATATCAAATATATTATCATACTCCATCTCGAAATTAAGTTGTATTGCAAGAAGTAATTGACAATTAGTTTTACTGCAATTTTTTTTTAGCTGCAGTGAGCTTGTATAACATCAATGTTTGCAGCACTTCACCTCTTAGCCACTAAGTCAGTTGTATTATAGTTCCTTCACTTTCTTAGCACTAAAATGCAGAAATTATTGCATTGCGCTAATAATAATTGCTCTTAAAACAGCCGTTCAAATAGCCTAAAAACCTTGACCTAAATACCAGTATTTCTACCATATTATGCCTAGCTCGAGTTTTGTTTGGCTATTGGTTTGACTGTATACTTATTTCTCGGACAACATGAAACCTCTACTTTACCCACATGTCAGTTTTTAGTATTACTAATTCCCATACTATGGTTATTATTGACTTTTTTTTTTCAACCAGAACACAAATGCTACAACATTTGCTATAAATGTAAGCTATGACTAAAAGCAAGTTCGCTGCTGAGCTTAATTCACCACCAGTTTTTCTTACCGAGCAAAAAAATTTTTTAAAGATTCATCTCTATTAAATAATTCTAATGAAGGTTAAATCTGCTGGATCACGATATTACTGAGACGTTAGTAGCTTATCCATTAACTAATAAGATATTTTATTTTCACCAGTTTACTAATGGCATCTTAATGTTATTTCTGCTATCAAATTTATGTCGCTGTTTACCAATTATTCTTTTTGGTCTCCTTCTAAACTACGTGATTTTTTAAGTGAAATCCACATTAACTATAATTCCGAGGGTTCACAAAACAAACTCCTAAGATATAATAACTACATATCATAATAGTTATGTTACTAGGTACATTATTGATGATGTACGTACATTCAGTAAAACGTGGAAGACAGCGAACTCCTTACGAAACATAATAAAGTATTATTCTTTCAAATACCTCAACTTATGTTTTCCCTTGTATTCATGTAACAAGGTATCTTGTTTATGAAGAATGTCCAACTAAAAAATTTTCGAGATGTAAGTGATATACCCAAATTCCTAAATATTTCAAGATTAAAAATCTTAAATACGTCTGAGAACGCATAAGCAACCAGCTGACACAATCTGAAACTTGGATAATTATTAGATCACTTCATCACGACAAATCCCAGTTGAGATTTCCAGTTAAGATGTTGTCAAGACTAGTCTTCATAAACTCTTATATAGTACTAACACTAGCAATAACCAGTATAATGTTTCAGCTTATAAACTATTGAATACATTAATTGTTAATGGGCGATTAAATCAGCACTATAAAACAACAATTAATTAAATATCGCTATACCGTTATCGGTCCTGTTTGTCAACTTATTGTCATAACGGATAATGTCTGTAGTAATCTGGTCAGCCATCGTGGAAAATCATAAAAAACTCAATTAAATAAGGGTACGAAGCTGAGTGCTTACACCCACACCTTCTCAGTTTCTCCTGCTTTTCACTGTCTATAGCCAGTTGTGGGAAGGCAGTTACCATTAAAGTAGAAATGAATTGAAATGGAGCCACCATAATATTTCTATTAGTTAAACTCCCAACCTCCACCCTTACAAAAAGATATTAAAATGAACCATAAAATATTCAACAGAACTATACACCCTACCTTAAAAGTTCTTATATAGTTCAACTCCCAACCTCCTCCCTTTCTCCTGAAGATTTATTCAAGTATCACACGGGAACGCCGAGACAAGCCCAACTACTTGAAATTAGTCTTTCCGTTCCGGTAATACTGAATAAAATTACTTGGAAAATTACTATTAGCTATTTATAAACTAAAGTAACTAGCTCCCTCTTTTTATAACTATTTTCCTTAATCGATAGTTAATATTCTAATATATTTTTATATTTATTAAAAATTAAGTATTTCTTTAATTGTCTGTCTTTATATCCATTATCTTTCAGTTTATTTCTTAATAACAGAACAATATCCATAAAATATTATAGCTATTACAGACTATCAAGAACCGTTTTAGTTGAGATATAATAATAGATTTTAATACTCGGAATAACACTATTAGGTGTGGGTAGAACTAGAATAGGAAAATTAAATTATCTGCTTTTATCAAAAATAGTCAACCGCACTGTACCTTCTATAAAAATAATGTCCAAATCTAATTAATTAGCTTTGACCTCATTATTATTATTATTATTATTATAACTTGACATCGGCGTTTGGATTTTGTCTGATAGATAGAATATCCCCAACGCATTTGTGTGCTATTACCAGAGACATTATCCGTTATGACAGTAAGTTGACAACGGTATAGCGATATATATATATATATATATATATTGTTTGATTCAATCACTAATACTTGCATATTTTGGAAATACCTGTACACATGTTTCTATATT